AGGATACAGGATACAGATCACGAGTCTGAGACTCGTGATCTGATTGGCTATTGAAACCTGACTGTGCCCGTTCACTTACAGCGCACAGGGGCCTGCTCTGTTTAATCTGAAGGCCCCGAGCAAATTTAATTTACCTGGCAATACAGCTAGCTGAAATATGATTGGTTAAAAACTCTACCATAATAAATAAGTTATTTATCGAGTGGCTTTCAATGTTATTTACAATAACATCAACTAAGTGGAAATAATATAATGTAAATAATACAGACAATAATTTTGTTTACATATTTAGGAAAGTAAAATAACATAAATTATAAAATAACATAAAATACATAAAAGTAAATTTACTTTTCTGAGAATGTTTAGGCCAGCAGAGAAGGCCTTGCTGGCCCTCAGGGTCTGCCACTGACTACATTGGTGAGTCAATGAATTTTATTTTACATTTCTTCTTGTCATTTTATTTCGTTAGTATTAAATTCATGGTAACGAAATAAAATGACAAAGATACAAAAACGTATCAAATAAATCTGCTCACCTGCAATTTATAATGGCGCATTGTAGTCACCTTCGTTCACTAAAGTTCATTAAATCTCTGCTGCTCAACATTTTCAGTTATTTGCTGTTGTATAGCCTCTTCTCAAAATGCAAATGATCTGTTAACTTCATTTTCAAAGAATAGTTTGTTTTGTTATTGTTTGGTTGGTGTCTTATATGAAACTGCGACATTGCGCAATTTATTGGACAGACTTGTTTAAGATCACACAGCGTAATTTGGGTGGCATTTTATTTCGTATTTTTAAATCATCTTTTTGTTTTTGACAATATCTGTAAATTTAGTTTCCTGCTCTTAATTGTGAATGCATACTTGATGGTTTTAAATGCTCCTGAAATTAAGTGCTGCTTGACGAGCTTATACAGTATTGTGTTCGTGTATGGGACGTCACTGAAGGCCAAAGGTTGAAATGCACGGCCCGCCACTGCTAGCAGAGAATTGAAACCTAACGCTTCTCCTCGTTCACCCCTGGTACCAGAATCCAGTGTCTCCTCTCCTCATTGGGTCTTTACTGTGAATGTCTAATTGATAACTCTGACATGAACAACCATGGTAAAAATATTTTTAAAATTATGTTATTATGTTGGCCTATATTTAAAACACAGGTACATGGAAATGCCAGTATTCTACCTTTATAGACAAGGACTGATGGGGCAATATAAAAATATTCTGGACATAATGTGAAAACAGTGAAGATGAAAGGGAGAAATCTACATCGTTTTAAGATAGATTTATTTTCCCCCAAATTTCAGTTTCACCAATAGATGTCGCTTTGCCCTATGGAGTCTCAAATGTCAGCATCGTGATATTTGCACATAGAACAACTTTGTCTCCTAACATTCCATTTAATTTTCATAGCATAATCAATGTGCAGGTCACAACTTTTCCACAACAGCGTTTTGGGTTGTTTTGGGTGAGCTTGTATCACGCAATTGTCATGAGTATTTCATGAGATACAGCAGGTTTTTGGTCGTGAACTCGGGAATGTAAGAGAGAGAGGTGGTGAGGCACCAAAGGTAGACCGACAAGAGGTCCGTACAGGAGATTAATCTGTTTTCGCGTAAATAAGCCTACGGTATTTTTGTATTCCATATATTTATTAAAATACTTTACAAACCTTTCTTATAAATATTGTATCCTGTTATTATTATAATTCCTATTACAGTATTATGATTTTTTTTTACCAGCTTAATTTTTAATTTTTGGTGCTCCCCCTCCCCCCAGGCTGTTGGTGCCTTTCACACAGTGCGTGGTCATCGTACAGTGGTACCTCTACTTACGAAATTAATTGCTTCTGGAAGAAATTTCTAAACTAGAAAATTTTCCATGTAAATGGCCTAATCCGTTCCAAGCCCCCACGCCCCAAAATTCAGACATAAATGTTTCCTAAAGCATAAAAATGCATCAACATATGTAAAATACATCTTACAATTAGATGATTGCACAATAAATGAGAATTGTGCATAATGTAAAAAACTAAGAATAAAGAAAAAAAATGGTCATTTAATTTTTAACTGTGTCCTCATCGTTTTTTGCCCTCTGAAGTCCATGTTCTCTCACAGAAGAGGTTTTTGACTGGCGATTTATAAAGAACCGATCCAAAGACACTTGCTTTTCCAATTTTTTTTTCCCTCGAAAAATGTTCTAGTGAAATCTATGTCAGATACTTTTTGCTTGATTGTGCACACTTGTACTTAACAACATTTGGCACCAATTTGTTATCATTTGTTGTCTTTTGTGAAAACAATGTTTGTTTGTTTTTTAATCAACTTGTATATAATGTGTTGCTGCAGGAAATGAAGGCCAAAAGTTTTATGGAATGAAATTATAAAGTAATGCAACAGTCAAAACACAGTTAATTTCAGACACATCGCATTGTATATATTATATTTGACTGTGCCACCTTTACCTGTGATCGTCTTTTGGATTATGAAAACTTAAGTTTATAATAAAACACAGGTTTTTTTGTTTTTGTTTTTTTTTTGCAAGTCTCAACACTGTAGCAGAGGAAGATGGAAAAAAAAGTATGTTACAGTTCGAGGTCTATTTACGTCTGGGTGACAACTGAGTAAAGTTTCTCATGCTTGTATTATTACATTCTGAAATGGTTTGTGGAAAAAAAAAGAGGTTACACGTAACCGCTCAATGAACAGCATGATCACATTCACTTTTTCAAGATACATGGTTACTTACAGTAGGCTCTGGAAATTCTGTAAGGCACATAGACAAAGCCATCCGTTGCTTTTGGCCACAGGCACCTGTCTCTCGTGCAAGCGTCCGCATTCTGTAGTCCAGTTGGTATGGCGATGTCTCCAAACATCACAAGAGGTTCATTTTGGTTCTTTCCTAGAAAAGTATGTTTTCCTTTATCATGAGTCGCTGCATTCGCAATTTTACTCTTAATGCTTGTCAATTATCATTCACACTCCGAATACAGAGCATCATGAAATGCTTGATCGCATTCATTTTCAGTGAGAGAGCCACAAAGGGTTAAAAAAAAGACTTGAATGTCAATGAGTTGTGACCAACTTGCTGCTGTTTGCTACGAGAGTGAATGACAAAATTGATAATGCTCAGACTCTTTCAGCATTGTTATGTCACTCTCCTAAACCTGTTTCCGAATTGGCGGTATGTAGCAGGAGATAGTAGATAAGTCAGGGAGAGTATCAAGACATGCAGATGCAATATAGAGGCTTCCACAGACTTCTACCCTCTGCCCTGCTATACTCACTACTAGACTGACAAATTCTGGATGGTTAAAAAAAAAGAGTAATCTAAGACGGTATTCTCAATAAAGCAATAAATCACTATCTTGCTATTCATAAAAAGAAGTGAGATTATGAAT